ATAACGAAAATTCTTTGTGTAAAACCCAATACATTCTTTAACAAGCAAGCAAATTCTCTGATATAGCGATAAAACCTCTGTATTTGCAAACGTTTTAAAGAAAATTTTCCCAGCTAAACACTCTAAAGAGGCTTCCCATTCAAGATCGAGATATCTCCGTCAACACCAAAGGCGTGGACACCCCACTGGAAACGGAATTATGCGGCCTCACGCAGCAGGATTCTATAACCCTTCCAACCTAACTCATGATTTCGCTTATCTGGTGTCGGGATCGGTGAATTTAAATACGATTTTGGCGGGCTCTCCCCGACATTACGCGTTTTGCTTGTACACGCAAATTTAGGGGCCCTACGGTAATGTCTTGAGGTGTTTCGAATTGTTTGAGTTTCTTTCAAAGAGATTTTATCCAGATAGGAATGGATTTCTTTTCTTTTCTTGTATAATATAAAATAAAAGTGAGTTACGGAAAAGGTTTTAATGCTGAGCTTGTTACGTAATGGGGGCTAAGTTTTGAACTCATGGGGTGGATTAGAAAGGAAAGATTGGGGGACTGTACACAGACTAATAATAAAATCATTGCCAAAGAAGATCAAATAAAAAGTGTCAAATGAAACTTTTATTACTAAATCCGTTTTACTCCCATATAATTACTATTTTTTGAACGTGATACAGTAAACTTTATTCCCCGTGGCCTTGCAGTATTTGTTATGAAAATTGTTTCTTAATGAACATTTAGTCAAACAATACCAGTATTATGAACGGGGTTTCACGATAGAATTCAAGAAAATCTTTAAATTAAGTAATAGTAACGCCTACATTAAAAACCCCAGCGGCAGAGTACTTTCAGTATGGCTATTAATAAACTTATTTAATCGCCACACTTTATTGTAAATCTGTATAATATATTGAACTAAAATGTCACGTAATACATAACATCACGCCTTTTATCCCCAAAGGGGTAGGCAGAGGTGCACATTACAGCTCTGAATGCCACTGTGCAATATAACACCCACTTTTCACTATTTATGTTATGAGTCCCATGTAATAATCGGTGAGCCTATTGCCATATACCGGGCACAATTCCAGACTCTGTGCTACTACTGAGATTTTTTTAGGAAGCCCAGTAATACTTTGCCCGACCCGGGAACCGAACCCGACACCCCTTGCTCGGCAGTCGCACTTGCGACCAATCGGTCAACGAGGCAGTCATAATATAATTATTTATTAATCTATTATGGCTACTACTCTAATGACCCTTTTACATACTAAACTGCCAAAGTTATTTAATTATAGACTGCATGAATATGCATTAACATCATATATATAATATTTCATACCGGGTATTTAAGTTCCATTACCTATTAATTTTAAAAGCACAGCATTTTGTCAAGTTTCATAAATTTAATTGTTGCGTGTAATAAAATGTTAATGGACTCATTGAAAAACGGAATTGTTTGGTTGTTATTATTTAATTACAGCCCATATGAATATTTGTTGGGTCTACCGTGACGTATCGGTTTTTAGACTTCAGTAATATAATATTTATTTTATTTATTTATTTCACTTTTTACAACTAGAGTATAAGGGCTTAATGCCATGGGCATGTCATTAGCCAACCTTTGCGTGATGTAGTGAGAACGTGGTCTGTGCAATTATGTACAATAAACCTATACAAAAATAAAGAATATTATTCTAATGCATCTAAAATTCTAAGGTATCATACCATCTGAGTAATCTTTGTTTTAGCAGTCAGTTATGCATTAATGTCAGTCAGTTATGAATTAATGTCAGTCAGTTATGCATTAATGCCGCTCAGTTAGCCATGGTATTTTTTTCTAACTGTTAGACATTACACAATAAGACAAATTAAATTTTGCATGATCTTTAATACTAACAACTTTATGTACTTTAACCTAAGAATTTTATGTCTGTGTCTGCAGCTGCAGCTGGTATTCGACACATGCAAAAAATCTACAATTTTTCAGGACATTCAAAACACGAGACGTTAAAATATTTAACTGCAAGTCTCGAGGAACATTCTAAGAACGACAAACTTCTTCTTGTTATGGCTATAAAACATTTTATTTCCATCGACTGTCATACTCTCAGTAGTTTATGTGAGTTTAGGCGCGTATTATTTATAGTCTGAATTCCATTTCTCATGCAAAGCTTGTAAAATGAGATGAATGATATTAAGTCATCGTACTGAAGCTTCGATTTCTTTAAGTGTCCTTCACGCCTGTTGATTAAATGGGATGATTTTGGGCTAAAAATGTGGAGGCATTCATTATGTTAACATCTCAGTTGCCTTGTTAGTCTATTTCAGAAGTGTACAATCAAAAACAACATTGGGTTGACAAATTGTAGCCACTTGGCATACAGGAGTTGCAGCGGATCTGGGAGGTTGTGGCGAGCTTGTCCCACAAAAAAAGTTTGTAGCCGCTATCTATAAGGCAAATAATCATAAAACCTATTAGTTATGTTTAAAATGAACCTAGTAACTTTAATTGTCATCATTTTGGGGTTACATAATATAATAAATACCCTGAAATGATAACGGAGTACTGAATATTAAAAATATTTATATGTCTGAATCCGCGAACCTATTCTACAATTGTAACTAAAAAGTTCTTATGAAATGTAATGTGTATAATGAATGCAGACTCACAGGTTCAACATGGGTGTTACGAAAACTCATTATAAAGTGTGTGAATATACTCAACAATGCAACAGGAAATTTTCGTAAAATTATATGCATATTAATCAGAACAAACAAAGGAATGTTCATAACTTTTCTGCAATTCAATTTTAGCAAATGTTTAAAAATGTAAATATTATTACGGTTCCCGCAAAATGCTATCACATCACAGTTGTGCAAATCGATCATAAAAATAAATAGTTCTCCTAGACAATAGTAGCTGTACCGCAGTGGCCCATCCATAACAAATAACGATATATCACACTTTACCGATAATTGAAACATAGAAAGCATTTTACGGTGACCATTTAGTACCAATATACCGACATAACAGTTGCAAGTAATGCTTCTACCATTACAACTGCATCAATATATGTCAAATGGGTTGGAATAATATAATAAAAAAGTGGTATAAAATATTTGAATGGTTGAGCCGTATTTTGCGAATGGTGTTCCGTATACTTAAATAAATTAAGTTTCTGAAAGATACTTAGGCCCGTATTAATAAACCGATATCAGCGTAAGATCGAGATGTTAAGACCCTGTTTGATATTCCGACGTATTAATAAACAAAACCTAATATGCGGTTTAAGACCTTGTCATCACCTGAGATCGTATTGTTTAATAAACAGTACTCGGGTTTTAATATCGGTATTAGGATGGTTATCAAGACCACGATTGTTGAGTTCAGTCGACCCTGGACTTAATATCGTGAACTCATACCCAAGTATTACGCGGGAACCATGAATTTTGAGAATATTATTTCCGAAATCAATTATTATGATGAAGTCGACTACTACGATGATATTTTATGGCCTTTTCAAAATCGATTACCTAAGGTTTATATAAGGGACGCGACAAATCCCTTCGAATTACCTACGCAAAACTTTAAAAAACGGTTTCGATTTAACCAAGAATCAGTGCTGTATATCGTATCGTTGATAAGAAATAATTTGGTAAAAAGTGATAACAGAGGGCTGCCAGTTGCACCAGAAATTGCAGTCTTGCTTACGTTGAGGTTTTACGCTACAGCATCCTTTCAGGTAAATTATTTTGATCAATTGAATTGTAAACATAGAAAAGTTAATTTTGTTGTGTGTTAAACGATTTATTAATAATGACAAAAACTTTCAGCTTGTGTGCGGGGATCTCATTTATTTATCTCAGCCTACAGTATCAAACGTCGTTACAAAAGTATCACGACTGCTAGCATTACTCCATAAAACCTATATTAAAATACCTACCGGAGATCAAGCTAGCTTGAATAGGCAATTATTTAAGGACTTGGGAAGACATGGGCGTTGGCCAGGGCTACCAGGTATAGATGGAGCCATTGATTGCACCCATATAAGAATCGTCAACACCCCAGGTTGTCAGCACCATGAAGTTTATCGCAATAGAAAATCTTATTTCTCCATTAATGTTCAAGTAAGTGTAATAAACATGATCAGTTTTTACAGCTTCTATTGCATATCTATGCAGTGATGATGACTATTGTAATTTTCTTTTTCAGGCTGTTGTCGGCCCACAAACAGAATTTTTGGACATAGTAGCTAGATGGGCTGGCAGCACCCATGATTCCAGAATTTTCCAAATGTCTAGGGTTTACATGAAGTATATTCAAGGTGTGCTAAATGGTAAACTAGTAGGTGATAGTGGTTATCCAACATTGCCATTTATGCTTACACCCATTAGGCCACCTCCTGAAGATCCCCCTCAAGTACGATATAACCGGGCACAAATAAAAACTAGAAACATTGTTGAAAGAACATTTGGCATTTGGAAACGTCGGTTTCCATGTTTATCAAAAGGACTTGGTAACAAGTTACAAACTGTGTCGCATATTATAGTAGCATGTGCAGTGTTACATAATTTATCACTGATGTTAAATGATGACATGGCATTGGATATTGATTCCCATTCTGATCAGGAGGATGGTGCAAACGAAACTACTGTAATGGCTAGTACAAGCGCAGGGTTTGTTATCAGAAATGCTTTAATAGAAAATTATTACCATTAAATATCAAATTTTTAAAATATTTTTATTGCATTTAGTCATGTTTTTATTAAGTGATTTTTTAATTCCTGCCCATAGTTAAGTTAATTATTTTAGTTTTTATTGAGGTAATGTTATATAATTCGTTATAGCACTCATTAAATTTTATTTTGTAAATTCATTTATTAAAGTGTAATTAATGTTTTAAATTTGACTAATAACTTTGAGTATTATAGAGATAAATGAAACATTAAATTGTTAACTTATCACATCATTTATTAAAACTTTAATTGTATATACTTGTAATCAATTGCTTGTGTTATGACCTGTAACAAAACAAAAAACATTAAAAAATACTGACAAGATGTAAACAAAGAAAAAACACCATTTTTATCCAACTTACCTATTGAATTTAGCTTTTCCTTTAAAATAAGGTCAGCTAAGTCTGCTTTAGATTTGGCTTCCCTAAGCTGTTCTCTTAAAATAAGTTCAGTTAAATCTGCTTTGGATTTGGCTTCCCTCAGCTGTTCGCTTAAAATCTCTATTTCCAAATTATGTTTTTCTGTGGCCCGCACAGATCGATCATTGTATTCCTGTTCTATCACATTTTTTTTTAGTAGGACTGTTCGGGTGTTAGTAGAACGCGCAGGTGACTTCCTTACTGATGGGATGGTTGTGATGGAGGGTTGGGACATTTGGGATGTGGAAGGATTTGGTGACTCAGGCTGTACAATGTGATCTATTTTGATTGTTTGTTCCTGAGAGATGGCAGACCCTTGAGATATATCTTCTAATTGTATATCTTCTATTTCAATTGAAATTGGTAGCTCTGACTGCGAAGAATCTAAAAATAATATTCAATTAATTATAGTCAGTGTTTAACAATACGATAAATAAAAGATTATTGGCATTAAAATTATACACACCTTCAACTACATCGGAATCAATTACATTGTCGATTCCAACAATAAGAGCTGGGGCCACCATAGACACATCAGGGTCAACGACAGCATCGTTGATAGACGGCCCTCCTCCAGTAGCTAGCCTATGTTGGCGTTCTTTGGTCAAAGCCTGTCTTTGACGCTGCTTTGTGTTGATCCATAAGCGCCGTAGTTGTTTAACTGATACCTAAAATAAAAAACCACAAGCATACTTATTGATAAATTAAAAAGTACACCTATGCCTTTCGAGGTATAAATGGTGTGGTCTTATGATATGATAAATATACATAAATAAGTTAAGCATGTAATTAATGCATATGATATGTATGTAATTATATGTTAGCCATTTACCTGTTTTGTAGCGAGAGGACTAGCATTATATTCGGCCGTAACACGTATCCAAGCGTCATTTTTGTTTTTTAGTGTAGCTCCGTCTGTATCTTTATTTTCTATAATATGACTATACTTTTTAAGTACATCTAGAAAGTGTTTTTTTTCAATCGCGCTAAATATGTGTTTTTTTGACTCCATTATCGATTATAATGTATTGTAACTTCTAAATAAACACGAAACACTGATGTGATTGTATTGTACAAATTGAGAGAAAGAGAATCACAGCACAGATTATAATAATGAGGTGACGCGCAATCACTGGTATGTGCGTTTATCATAAGACTAAACGTAACTTTATAATAAATTTTGCTTTTTTATTAAAAAAAAATCATAATGAATACAATATAAAAAAGTAATATAATTTCCTAAAATTTCAATCCATTTAAACTGGAAAAAAACTTTTATTCCTATGCATACAGAGTTGAATATTATCGTTCTAAAAAGCTATTACTAAACGCAATGAACGAAAGATGTATTAGTTCGTTCGCTGTGACGTAACAAGTCTTAACATCAGGATTTCATCGAGTGTCAAATTACGAATCTTGATATCTCGATCCAAACCGCGGTATCACCTGAGATCGTGTGGATATAGGTTTATTAATTAGCGTCGACATTAAGATCCTGATCGCATCTTGAGAACGTATCAACTGATGCCGGTCTTGACATCGTGATTGAGACTTATTTATTAATACGGGCCTTATAATATTATACTATGTATTTCATATAAGTTTTGTATATTAATATGGCGTTGAGTTTTATACTTTTTGTTACATCTATCTCCAATTGGTGTAGGCAGAGACTATAGAAGAGTGCCTAGCTTCACTGACAGTCGGACGGACATACAATAAAATTTTGGAAGTACCTAATTAATGATTAATTGAAATAAATGCTTGGGCTTTGGCTTTGACTTTGAGTTTGAGAATGTAAAATTTTCTTATGTAATTGTAAGTAAAATTGAATGCGCTTGAAGCAACTTATAAAACGTGAGACTGAACATTTTCAACAACTGAATATTTGTGACACCTACAGTACCCTTCGACATAATAAAAATAATAAACTCGCTCAAAAATACGAAAAGTGCTGGATACGATGACATAACCACCGAGACAATAAAAGCCACAGCTCCTAGTATTGCCCCGATACTTAGCCACATTATCAATGGTTGCATTGAAACAGGCATATTCCCAGAAAACCTGAAAATTACTGTAATCTTACCATTATACAAAAAAGGTGACAACCAGGATCCCAATAACTACAGACCAATAGCGCTTAGTTCGGTATTCTCCAAAATATTTGAAAAGGTGTTACATAAAAGCCTGAACTCTTACTTAGAAAGTAACAAAATTTTAATTGACGAACAATATGGATTCAGGAAAAACAAAAGTATCGATTTAGCCATATATAATCTAATAGAACACGTCTTAACAAACGTAGATAATAGAACCCCTGTAGTGTCATTGTTTATGGACATGTCAAAAGCGTTTGACTTTGTAAACCATGAAATACTAATAAATAAGCTAGAGAAATACGGAATCAGGGGTAATATACTTGAGCTCATAAAATCTTACCTGACAAATAGAGAGCAAATTACATACATAAACAAAATCTGTCCCTACACAAAAACCGAAAAGACATATACCTCTACACGTAGGAAGTGTCTATTCGGAGTACCACAGGGTAGTGTTCTCGCACCCTTGCTATTTATTATATATATCAATGACATGCCTAAAGTAATTAATAACCCAATGATACTATTCGCGGACGACAGCACAATACTATTTAAGAAAACAAAAGATGACGAGACTTTCGAAAAAGATATAAATGACAATTTAAATAACATCATATCCTGGCTAACCAAAAATAACTTAAAAATTAACCTAGAAAAAACGACGTACATATCTTTTGAACAAAGAACTATTTATAAAAATCTAAATATTCACTACGGTGACCAAAAAATTTATGCAACTGATAACACAAAATTCTTAGGCATAAGTATTGACAAAACATGACATGGAAAACTCACGTTGAAAATATATGCAAAAAGCTCAGCCAGTACTCGTATGCATTATACAACCTAAGAAAAGTGTCAAATCTTCCAACATTAATAATGGCGTATCATGGATATGTTGCATCCACTCTAAGATACGGACTCAAATTTTGGGGCAACTCGCCAAATAAACAAAATGCATTTAAAGCACAGAAAAAGTGTATCAGAGCCATATGCGGCATACAAAATACAGAGAGCTGTAAACCACATTTTCAGCGGCTACAGCTGCTTACGCTTCCATGTCTCTACATATATGAGGTAGCCACTTTTGTTAAAGCAAACCTACACATATATACCCATCCAAAGAGCACACGACACAGACACGAAATATGCATAACACCTCACAAAAAAGCCATATTTAATAACAACATTTTGGGTATGGCACCCAAAATATACAACAAGTTACCAAATGCTATAACTAACATCAGCAGTGTAGACGAGTTCAAAGGTCCCTACAAGTACACCTGGTAACAAAATGTTACTACTCCATCAAGGAATTTTTAGATGAAAGATGACTGCCTGCTGGATCCGATTTGCATTGGTGGCATTTGTTTTGATTTATATAGGAACAACGAAATTATCAGTAAAACTTTTAGTATGTTGTACCCACTGACTAGGTAATATGACTTAAAAAAAAAATGTACTGTTTCACGTTCATCTTGACATCCGCTAATGACTAATTTTAAAATTTTCATCAAGGACATTATCTTTATTTTTATATACATTCGTGACTATTGTAATAATTTATTCGAATGAAATTAATATTAATGACGTTATTAAATTAAATACTTAAATGTTTAACCTAATTTGTATGTGACATATCACAAAACATAGATGGTCAATATTATACCATGAAATGTAACATCCCATTGTACCTATGTTTACAAATAAATATTTTCATTTTCATTTTCATTTTCATTTTCATTTTCAACTTTTTATACATTTTATAGCAATGAAACATCAAGCTTTGCATGAAGTAACTTTAAAATAAAATGATATTTAAAAGTACAAGCTAAAGTCAAGCCATGTTGGAAATATGAAAACTGCAATTGTACAGATTCTGAGAACTGAATTTACTATGATATTTTATTTTACATAATAAATATTGAATAACACTACAGAGAGTACGCCGATGACGTAATTTAAATTTATAGTGAAAAACAGTGAACAACAATGTAAATGTTTAACTTTAAGTTATTATTATTTTAACTGGAAAGTCAAATACCTACATTGTCATTGATATGACAGAATTTTCTCTTGTATTGTGGATGCGTTATACAAAAATACAAGTTCTCATACATGTGTCATGCACATAGACCCGGAACAACAATCCGTAGATCACACAAAGTCGGTTGCCCAGCCACCGTGCCAATCGGGCAGTCATTTGATTATGTTAACATTTTTGCATTTCATAAATACATACAAACAAAATTAGCCACACAAAAACAAAAGTCAAATGTCTAAAAAGCAATAAAAAACACACAGATGAATTGAAAACCTCCTTTTTGGGAACGCAGTTAAAAATTATAACAGAATGTTTGTACCGAACCCTAAACAGACGAGTACGGCTATTGAAGATCGGTTCGGTAAATGATGCCATTAAGTTCAATAATATACCGCAAGGGAATGACAATGTTGGTAGATATGAAAGATTTGTGGGGAACCACCTCTCTGTGTTTTGTTTACTAGGTTGACTTGTTTACTATAGATGTTTTATTATAAAAAACATAATTTTGATTAAAGCAAAGTAGTATTGTGAGCAACAACAATGTATTTTTATTGACAATAATGGCACGGGGTCTAGCATACCCGACATATTTTTGTGTCTTCCTTTCACGTTTTAGCGAGACGATTTTATAATATGATTTTGTATCTGCTGATACTGAAACTGTCGTGATGGCCCGGAGGTTATGCATGCGCTCATGCATGAGGGTGCGGGTTCGAAACCTACCAACGGCAAGTACCAATGTGACTTTTTTCGAGTTATATGTAGGTACTATCTAAGATTATTTAGACACCAATGATAAACGGTGAAGGAAAACATCGTGAGGAAACTTGGACTTATATAATTTCTAATTATTAGTTTGAAATCGCCAACCTGCAATAAGCAAGCGTGGTGATTAATGCTCAAACCTTCTTCGTGTGAGAAGAGGCTTTGCTCAGCAGTGGGCATTTAAAGGCTGTTGATGATGATGATCTGCTGATAGTGAGGCGGCTGGTAGGTAAAAGAAAGTTGAACATACAATTTTCATGTTATTTAAAACATGTTAATTGTATTGTATCGTGTTCATTACACATTGTACATTTTTTGCCTAATTATTCATAAGCTATTATCATTATAACTATTAGCGGAAAGTAGTCCTTTGTAATAAATTAATCCATATAATTAATTTTAAATATTAATCGCTTCAATAAATAATTATTTTATTCAGACAATGTCAACAGTTTTGTTAATCCAAGCAAAAGCCAGTAAAGTAAATTATGAACTATAATAAAATTAACGTATTAACAAAATCTTTATTTAAATTATTTCATTTGTCAAATAGTAGTTTACAATAATAAAACATTACACCTTTTGACGACTGTGCGTTTCTTTTTTAACTTTTTGATTAGCACAGTAAAATTATGGAATGATTTGTCGTCAGCGGCTTTATAAAATCGATACGACGTTCAAACCTTCAAGAAATGAACCATGGCAGCGCCAACCGCTTACCATCAGGCTGTCTACTCGTTTTCTCCTAGTGTATAAATCATATCGGTTTCTCCAAAGGACAGTAAATATTACATTACTTTAAATTGAATTTCGCTGTCATACACTCCATGCAATACATTGATATGATTCTGAATTCCACACTATAATCGAAAAAAAATAATTGTTTAAATGTTTTAAAAAGCGGACAATATCATTCGGTTAAATAAAGCAATTGATTTAAACTTCTGGTTTCCTGGATATCCGGGTTTAAATTTATCCTGATTCCTCATTGACTCCCAATTATATCCGACTGATGATAAGTTTCGAGGAATTAATTGAAATGAAATTTTATATTTGTTTCGTTAACTTGATTTCCAAAATTTTATGAACATGTAATAA